GTATAGTGAATGTAACCACTGTATAGTGAATGTAAACACTGTATAGTGAATGTAAACATTGTATAGTGAATGTAAACATTGTATAGTGAATGTAAACATTGTATAGTGAATGTAAACACTGTATAGTGAATGTAAACATTGTATAGTGAATGTAAGCAGAATGTAAGATTTACCTGTCATCTTATGCGTCCATTTAAATATATTTCACGAGGCTCTAAACCCGTGTGGGCCATTCAGTGCAAGGAGTGCTGCAGGCTCGATCCTACCTTCAAAAAACACCGATGTTTCTGATCATTCAGACTGTTGGTAATGGCGCTTATGAGACTATTATTATTTACCTGGATACCTGGAGTATACCTGAAGAGGTTTTGGGGGGTCAACGCCCCCGCGGCTAGGTCTGTGACCAGGCCTTAAAGAGGTAAACCCGTATGAATCACTGGAAACCCGACTATTTCTACTCACAGCGTAGCAAAACTTGACTCTCTCAGCCAAATGACTGTGAAGGGCTCTGGATTCCAGGAATTGGAGCCATCTTCCCTGGGAGTGAACCTGATTGCCTCCCACCCCCCAGGCGCCACATGACCCCATACGGATTTAGCATTCCTTGTGAATAAACAAGGCTGGTGGTGAGGTCAGTGAGTTAGTGTCCGTCGTCATGGTGATACAGTGGGTGGGTGGTGATACAGTGGGTGGGTGGTGATACAGTGGGTGGGTAGTGATACAGTGGGTGGGTGGTGATACAGTGGGTGGGTGGTGATACAGTGGGTGGGTGGTGATACAGTGGGTGGGTAGTGATACAGTGGGTGGGTGGTGATACAGTGGGTGTGGGTGTATACAGTGGGTGGGTGGTGATACAGTGGGTGGGTGGTGATACAGTGGGTGGGTGGTGATACAGTGGGTGGGTGGTGATACAGTGGGTGGGTGGTGATACAGTGGGTGGGTGGTGATACAGTGGCTGGGTGGTGATACAGTGGGTGGGTGGTGATACAGTGGGTGGGTGGTGTGATACAGTGGGTGCTGATACAGTGGGTGGGTGGTGATACAGTGGGTGGGTAGTGATACAGTGGGTGGGTAGTGATACAGTGGGTGGGGTAGTGATACAGTGGGTGGGTGGTGATACAGTGGGTGGGTGGTGATACAGTGGGTGGGTGGTGATACAGTGGGTGGGTGGTGATACAGTGGGTGGGTGGTGATACAGTGGGTGGGTGGTGATACAGTGGGTGGGTGGTGATACAGTGGCTGGGTGGTGATACAGTGGGTGGGTGGTGATACAGTGGGTGGGTGGTGATACAGTGGGTGGGTGGTGATACAGTGGGTGGTGATACAGTGGGTGGGTGGTGATACAGTGGGTGGGTAGTGATACAGTGGGTGGGTAGTGATACAGTGGTGGGTAGTGATACAGTGGGTGGGTGGTGATACAGTGGGTGGGTGGTGATACAGTGGGTGGGTGTGATACAGTGGGTGGTGATTACAGTGGGTGGTGATACAGTGGGTGGGTGGTGATACAGTGGGTGGGTGGTGATACAGTGGGTGGGTGGTGAATACAGTGGGTCAGGTGGATACAGTGGGTGGGCTGGTGATACAGTGGGTGGGTGGTGATACAGTGGGTGGGTGGTGATACAGTGGGTGTGGGTGGGTGATACAGTGGGTGGTAGTGATACAGTGGGATTGGGTGGGTAGATACAGTGGGTGGGTGTGATACAGTGGGTGGGTGGTGATACAGTGGGTGTGGTGGTGATAAGTGGGTGGTGATACAGTGGGGATAGTGGGTGGTGGATACAGTGGGTGGGTGTGATACAGTGGGTGGGTGGGATACAGTGGGTGGTGATACAGTGGGTGGGTGATACAGTGGTGTGGGTGGTGATACAGTGGGTGGGTGGTGATACAGTGGGTGGGTGGTGATACAGTGGGTGGTGATACAGTGGGTGGGCGGGTGATACAGTGGGTGGGTGGTGATACAGTGGTGTGGGTGTGTTGGGATACAGTGGGTGGGTGGTGATACTAGTGGGTGTGATACAGTGGGTGGGTGTGATACAGTGGGGGTTGCGGGGTTGGTGATACAGTGGGTGGGTGGTGATACAGTGGGTGTGGATAAAAGTGGGTAAGTGGGTGGTGATACAGTGGGTGGGTGGTGATACAGTGGGGTGGAGTTGTGATACAGTGGGTGGGTAGTGATACAGTGGGTGGGTGGTGATACAGTGGGTGGGTGGTATGTACAGTGGGTGGGTGGTGAAACAATGGGTGGTGATACAGTGGGGTGGTGATACGTGGGTGGGTGGTGATACAGTGGGTGGGTGGTGATACAGTGGGTGGTGATACAGTGGGTGGGGGTGATACAGTGGGTGGGTGGTGATACAGTGGGTGGGTGTGATACAGTGGGTGGGTAGTGATACAGTGGGTGGGTGGTGATACAGTGGGTGGTGATACAGTGGGTGGGTGGTGATAACAGTGGGTGGGTGGTGATACAGTGGGTGGTGGGTGATACAGTGGGTGGTGATACAGTGGGTGGGTGGTGATACAGTGGGTGGGTAGTGATACAGTGGGTGGGTGGTGATACAGTGGGTGGGTGGTGATACAGTGGGTGGGTGGTGATACAGTGGGTGGGTGGTGATACAGTGGGTGGGTGGTGATACAGTGGGTGGTGTGATACAGTGGGTGAGTGGTGATACAGTGGGTGGTGATACAGTGGGTGGGTGGTGATACAGTTGGGTGGTGATACAGTGGGGTGGGTGGTGATACAGTGGGTGGGTGGTGATACAGTGGGTGGGTGGTGATACAGTGTGGTTGGGTGGTGATACAGTGGTGTGAGTGGGTGATACAGTGGGGTGGTGATACAGTGGGTGGGTGTCGGGTGATACAGTGGGTGGGTGGTGATACAGTGGGTGGGTGGTGATACAGTGGGTAGGTGATACAGTGGGTGGGTGTATACAGTGGGTGGGTGGTGATAAGTGGGTGGCATGGTGATACAGTCATGTGGGATATACAGTGGAGGTGGTGGGGGATACAGTGGAGTGCAGGTGATACATGGGTGGGTGGTGATACAGTGGTGAGCTACGCGCTGATACAGTAGGTAACATGGTCTTCCGATACAGTGGGTGGTATCAGTAGAGGGGATAGTTGGTGAATTACAGTGGGTTTGTAGGTTAGATAATTGTGGGTTGGTGATACAGTGATGAATGAAGGAATTGATACAGAGGAAAGAATGAAGACATGCCTGAGTCCGATGGCCCATACAAGGGCTGAGTAAGGGTAAACAGACAAAGCCTTATCATAAATACCCACAAGTGACACTGAGTAAACTGAATACAGCATAGTAGCCTTGAGTTTAATGGTCAGCTCAGGATGCAGGGATCTTGATCATTAATGGATACCATCAAGGTAGCCTTGATGTATTATAATGGAAGGTCGGAAGATCACTGAGGAAGGAGCTTGAGTTACAGAGGGAAGAATGAAGTAAGTCCTTGAGTCAACTAAGTCACCAGTATCAAGGAGCCTTGAGTTAAGTCACCAGCATCAAGGAGCCTTGAGTCAAGAGGAAGTCACCAGCATCAAGGTGCCTTGAGTTAAGAGGAAGTCATCAGCATCAAGGAGCCTTGAGTTAAGTCACCAGCATCAAGGAGCCTTGAGTTCAAGAGGAAGTCACCAGCATCAAGGTGCCTTGAGTTAAGAGGGTCACCAGCATCAGGAGCCTTGAGTTAAGAGGAAGTCATCAGCATCAAGGAGCCTTGAGTTAAAAGTCCAGCATCAAGGAGCCTTGAGTTAAGAGGAAGTCATCAGCATCAAGGAGCCTTGAGTCAAGAGGAAGTCACCAGCATCAAGGTGCCTTGAGTTAAGAGGAAGTCATCAGCATCAAGGTGCCTTGAGTTAAGAGGAAGTCACCAGCATCAAGGAGCCTTGAGTTAAGAGGAAGTCATCAGCATCAAGGAGCCTTGAGTTAAGTCACCAGCATCAAGGAGCCTTGAGTTAAGAAGAAGTCATCAGCATCAAGGAGCCTTGAGTTAAGAGGAAGTCATCAGCATCAAGGAGCCTTGAGTTAAGTCACCAGCATCAAGGAGCCTTGAGTTAAGTCACCAGCATCAAGGAGCCTTGAGTTAAGAGGAAGTCACCAGTATCAAGGAGCCTTGAGTTAAGAGGAAGTCACTAGCATCAAGGAGCCTTGAGTTAAGTCACCAGCATCAAGGAGCCTTGAGTTAAGAGGAAGTCACCAGCATCAAGGAGCCTTGAGTTAAGAGGAAGTCATCAGCATCAAGGTGCCTTGAGTTAAGAGGAAGTCACCAGCATCAAGGTGCCTTGAGTTAAGAGGAAGTCATCAGCATCAAGGTGCCTTGAGTTAAGAGTGGGTCACCAGCATCAAGGAGCCTTGAGTTAAGAGGAAGTCACCAGCATCAAGGTGCCTTGAGTTAAGAGGAAGTCACCAGCATCAAGGAGCCTTGAGTTAAGAGGAAGTCACCAGCATCAAGGAGCCTTGAGTTAAGAGGAAGTCACCAGCATCAAGGAGCCTTGAGTTAAGAGGAAGTCACCAGCATCAAGGTGCCTTGAGTTAAGAGGAAGTCACCAGCATCAAGGAGCCTTGAGTTAAGAGGAAGTCACCAGCATCAAGGAGCCTTGAGTCTTCCTTGCAGAGATGGGGAGGAAAATTCTGGGGTCTGATGTCCAGGAATGTTGTGGGAGACAGGGAATGCAGCATGACATCAAGTAGTCATGCATGTGATTGTGGCAGGTATGTAGTCTGACGTGAAGGTGTGAGTGTGGCAGGTAACAGTCTGACATGAAGGTGTGAGTGTGGCAGGTAACAGTCTAACATAAAGGTGTGAGTGTGGCAGTTAACAGTCTAACAAAGGTGTGAGTGTGACAGGTAACAGTCTAACATAAAGGTGTGAGTGTGACAGGTAACACAGTCTAACATAAAGGTGTGAGTGTGGCAGGTAACAGAGATGGCGTCAGCGCAGCAGGTATAGCAGTAATTTAACATCCAGAACTCGTGCACATGTACACCTTACCAGTGACGGAGCTGGCGCTCTGTAGTTCCGTATCGTCGAATTCTAAATTAGGCTCGTAATCGTGGAAGTCACTGAGGCTTGGATAGGGATCTTCGTGGTCACCGTACGAGGCTTAACACCCCAACCGAGCGACGAACCCGACATGAACCCAGGCACCAACACACACCACGAAGAAGAGAGAGGAAAAACAATTAACAATTAACACTCATATAACGTTCAATAACGTTAGAAAACAAACTTGGAGACAACGTTCTGTATAGCTTCAACAGGTCATATTAAATATTTTTCTACGTAGAGCCATATCTATCTGATTAATCTACTATATGAGGGTCATTAAGGCTGTCTATCACCTATATACCACCAGCCAAGATTAAACAAACTCTCAGTGTATATACACTGAGATATAACAATGATACCATGAAACCATACCATGGGTGGAGTTTGAACCCGCGGGCAGAGAGTCTCAAAACTCCAGACTGTCGTGTTAGCCACTGGGCCAGCTAGCTTCAATAAAATTCATCCAACTAGGTATATTTCTACACCATAGGAAGGTTAGCATAGGCACCACTGTGACCACAAATACAAGTTTTGAGACTCTCTGACCGTAGGTTCAAACCCCACCCGTAGTATGGTTTGTTTGCAATCGTGTCATTACGATTTCGTGAGTCATACCACGAAACAATTGGTACTGAAACACTTACCAAACTGCAGCAGGCCAGGATTCAACCCCACGATGCAATGTCCCACCTCAAGAGACAACACAACGTACGTGTCACCTTATCCACTCCACCATCGTAGGGTCGATGGCAGAGTAGATAGGGTGACACGTACGTTGTGTTGTCTCTTGGGGCGGAACAATGTATCGTGGGGTCGAATCCTGGCTTGCCCCAGTTTAGTAAACAGTAAGATACATCTTACGCTGCATATATCCAGACAGCTCTATCCAGTAATGACTTGACAGAGCTCTACAAATAAATCAAGACCTGGTAAAGCTCTATACAGAGCACACAACAAAGGATGTCGATCCATAGATCGCCTGAGGGATGGAAGATGACAGGGATGTGATCCAAGGAAGGGGAGTCTCGCTCCAATTCCTTGAATCAAGAACCAATTGTTAATACTAATACAGAATTAGTCAATATTTGAAACAATTCACACAATATTTGGAACAATTCACACAATATTTGGAACAATTCACACAATATTTGGAACAATTCACACAATATTTGGAACAATTCACACAATATTTGGAACAATTTCACACAATATTTGGAACAATTCACACAATAATTTGGAACAATTCACACAATATTTGGAACAATTCACACAATATTTGGAACAATTCACACAATATTTGGAACAATTCACACAATATTGGAACAATTCACACAATATTTGGAACAATTCACTCAATATTTTGGAACAATTCACACAATATTTGGAACAATTCACTCAATATTTGGAACAATTCACACAATATTTGGAACAATTCACTCAATATTTGGAACAATTCACACAATATTTGGAACAATTCACTCAATATTTGGAAACAATTCACACCAATATTTGGAACAATTCACTCAATATTTGGAACAATTCACACAATATTTGGAACAATTCACACAATATTTGGAACAATTCACACAATATTTGGAACAATTCACACAATATTTGGAACAATTCACACAATATTTGGAACAATTCACACAATATTTGGAACAATACACTCAATATTTGGAACAATACACACAATATTTGGAACAATTCACTCAATATTTGGAACAATTCACACAATATTTGGAACAATTCACTCAATATTTGGAACAATTCACACAATATTTTGAACAATTCACAATATTTGGAACAATTCACACAATATTTGGAACAATTCACACAATATTTGAAACAATTCACACAATATTTGGAACAATTCACTCAATATTTGGAACAATTCACTCAATATTTTGAACAATTCACAATATTTGGAACAATTCACACAATATTTTGAACAATTCACAATATTTGGAACAATTCACACAATATTTGGAACAATTCACACAATATTTGGAACAATTCACTCAATATTTGGAACAATTCACACAATATTTGGAACAATTCACAAAAAAAACAAATTGTGGGTCAACTTGTAGACGTTTCGGTCCCTCCAGGGTCGACACGCAGAGCGGGTATATAGGAGTGAAACTAGTGGCTGGAACAAATGGTCCAGGAGTGAGCGAAACGTTTCAGTAGTCGAAATGTTTAGTCTGTTGAATACAGAGATGACGTGAAGGGAATCATCTCTGTGATGGAGTGAAACAACTTGCTGAGAGGGCGAAATGTTTCGTCAGTGTAGATTTTTTTTACAAAGATCAATTTTAAGGGCCAGGAGCTGTTACCCTGCCACACCTCACTTCCCAGGATGCCACCCACACCAGTCTGCTAACACCCAGGTACCTACTTACTGCTAGGTGAACAGTGACAGCAGGTGTTAGTAGACTAGCACCCAGGTACCTACAGTGACAGCAGGTGTTAGTAGACTAGCACCCAGGTACCTACTTACTGCTAGGTGAACAGTGACAGCAGGTGTTAGTAGACTAACACCCAGGTACCTACTTACTGCTAGGTGAACAGTGACAGCAGGTGTTAGTAGACTAGCACCCAGGTACCTACTTACTGCTAGGTAAAGTGACAGTAGGTGTTAGTAGACTAGCACCCAGGTACCTACTTACTGCTAGGTGAACACTGACAGCAGGTGTTAGTAGACTAACACCCAGGTACCTACTTACTGCTAGGTGAACAGTGACAGCAGGTGTTAGTTGACTAACACCCAGGTACCTACTTACTGCTAGGTAAACAGTTACAGCAGGTGTTGACTAACACCCAGGTACCTACTTACTGCTAGGTAAACAGTGACAGCAGGTGTTAGTTGACTAACACCCAGGTACCTACTTACTGCTAGGTAAACAGTGACAGCAGGTGTTAGTTGACTAACACCCAGGTACCTACTTACTGCTAGGTAAACAGTGACAGCAGGTGTTAGTTGACTAACACCCAGGTACCTACTTACTGCTAGGTGAACAGTGACAGCAGGTGTTAGTTGACTAACACCCAGGTACCTACTTACTGCTAGGTAAACAGTTACAGCAGGTGTTGACTAACACCGGTACCTACTTACTGCATAGGTAAACAGTGACAGCAGGTGTTAGTTGACTAACACCCAGGTCCTACTTACTGCTAGGTAAACAGTGACAGCAGTGTTAGTTGACTAACACCCAGGTACCTACTTACTGCTAGGTGAACAGTGACAGCAGGTGTTAGTTGACTAACACCCAGGTACCTACTTACTGCTAGGTAAACAGTTACAGCAGGTGTTGACTAACACCCAGGTACCTACTTACTGCTAGGTAAACAGTGACAGCAGGTGTTAGTAGACTAACACCCAGGTACCTACTTACTGCTAGGTGAACAGTGACAGCAGGTGTTAGTAGACTAACACCCAGGTACCTACTTACTGCTAGGTGAACAGTGACAGCAGGTGTTAGTAGACTAACACCCAGGTACCTACTTACTGCTAGGTAAACAGTGACAGTAGGTGTTAGTAGACTAACACCCAGGTACCTACTTACTGCTAGGTAAACAGTGACAACGGGTGCAGGGAAACACGCCCAACGTTTCCACCCGTGCCGGGGATCGAACCACGGATACTCAGCGTGGCGAGTGCGCTAGCAACAGAGCCACGGGGCAAATTTATAAATGCGATTACCGACTTATATAAATAACACAAACAAATGAGAAATGTGTTCTTAATAAGGAATTTATAAATGAGAAAGGGGTAGATGAGAGGTAGCTCCAATTACCTGAATCAAGAGCCCTTACTCAGCATCAAGGTGTGTGTCCTTGATGTCACTGAGGTACAAAGTCCTTGATGTAGTTAAGAGGAACTGGAGATTCAAGGAAGTGAAAGTTGTAAATATTTAAGATTTTGTTTGTGTGTGTTCTCGCCTAATTGTGGTTGCAGGGGGTCGATTCATAGCTCCTGGCCCCGCCTCTTCACTGATCGGTACTAGGTCCTCTCTCTCTCTCCCCCTGTTCCATGAGCTTTATCAGACCTCATCTTAAAGCTATGTATGGATCCTGCCTCCACTACATCACTCTCCAGATTGTTCCACTTCCTGACAACTCTATGACTGAAGAAATACTTCCTAACATCCCTGTGACTCATCTGAGTCTTCAACTTCCAATTGTGTGTGTATTGGAGATTGTGGTGGTGAAGGTGTGTGTTGGGGATTGTGGTGGTGGTGAAGGTGTGTGTTGGGGATTGTGGTGGTGGTGAAGGTGTGTGTTGGGGATTGTGGTGGTGGTGAAGGTGTGTGTTGGGGATTGTGGTGGTGGTGAAGGTGTGTGTTGAGATTGTGGCGGTGGTGAAGGTGTGTGTTGGGGATTGTGGTGGTGGTGAAGGTGTGATGGGGATTGTGGTGGTGGTGGTTGAAGGTGTGTTGGGGATTGTGGTGGTGGTGAAGGTGTGATGGGATTGTGGTGGTGGTGGTGAAGATGTGTTGGGGATTGTGGTGGTGGTGAAGGTGTGATGGGGATTGTGGTGGTGGTGGTGAAGGTGTGTTTGGGGATTGTGGTGGTGGTGAAGGTGTGTGTTGGGGATTGTGGTGGTGGTGAAGGTGTGATGGGGATTGTGGTGGTGATGGTGAAGGTGTGTTGGGGATTGTGGTGGTGGTGAAGGTGTGTGTTGGGGATTGTGGTGTGGTGAAGGTGTGATGGGGATTGTGGTGGTGAAGGTGTGTTGGGGATTGTGGTGGTGGTGAAGGTTGTGTTGGGATTGTGGTGGTGGTGAAGGTGTGATGGGGATTGTGGTGGTGGTGGTGAAGGTGTGTTGGGGATTGTGGTGGTGGTGAAGGTGTGTGTTGGGGATTGTGGTGGTGGTGAAGGTGTGTGTTGGGGATTGTGGTGGTGGTGAAGGTGTGTGTTGGGGATTGTGGTGGTGGTGAAGGTGTGTGTTGGGGATTGTGGTGGTGGTGAAGGTGTGATGGGGATTGTGGTGGTGGTGGTGAAGGTGTGTTGGGGATTGTGGTGGTGGTGAAGGTGCGTGTTGGGGATTG